GCTCTGTCAATATCAGGCGTAGGTGCAGTGGAATATCAAGCTGCTACTGTTCAGGGCGATGAAGAGAGTTTTTAATAAACGGCGTAATGGAATTTATGTCAGGGACTGCAAAGCATTACAGATGGTAGTTTGTGTGTCTAATGCATGAAAATCAAACCATATTATAGTCTCCTGAAACACTATATGAAATTATAAAGCATAAAAATAAATGTATATATATATATATGTTTCTACCTGTAAGAACGCACTTCTGACGAAGAGATCAGTTAGGATGGGCCTGATCCCATGGGAATCCATATATCACAGGATTAACCCTGCCCTTGAATTACTGTATACAGGGTCCATGCACCAGCCAGAAGGGCTGTATGAGTCCAACCATAGAAGGGGGCTCAGGCTGGCCGGGTTCTGGCCAGGGACCAGACAGAATATTTCCTGGGAAGCAGCCCAAGATTTCTGCAAAGCCCTTCTCCTCCCCATGAGTGTGGGACACAATCTAGCTCATACACATATATATCGCACGTGTGTGTATTCACACACCTGTACACCCCTACCCCCCAACGTTAAAATACCCTGCAGGATGTGACAATGTAGCAGAAGCCAGGACATTCTGAGTTAGCATGGAAACTTCCCAGCTGGCTGTGGGAACGGACAGCTAAAACAGCAGGTGACGGGATCTGCAGGACATCTTCCCTATGCTGGTGATTTGGGGCCGACGCGAGCTCCTTTCAGGCTCCTGTTGTCCTGCCCTGGCATCCTGCTGGTGGATTCTCTCCAGTTATAAAACACATTGCTACCTTCATTCACTCTTAATTAAAAACGGAAGACGCTCCAGGGGCTTTGATAACACAAAGAAACCTCTCTGTGCTGAAAGCGAAGAGCCTGATGAAAAGCGGGGAGTGATTGCCGCGCCAGGAGATGAAGGCGGGGGGAGGGATCGGGGGGTAAGAGAAAAGTAACAACAACAAGAGGGACTTTAAAACGCAGCTTTAATCTTTCCAGAAACTATGCGAATTCAGCAAAGTAGAAATCAGCGCTGGGAGTTGGGAGGGGGGCAAATTCCACCTTCAACGCACGTCTAACCTGACCTTCCCTTCCATACAGTCTCTACGCACACAGAGGGAAGGAATGCAACTTTCGGGGCCAAATCCTGTTCCTGTAGATGTGGCGGTGAGTTTTGCCAGTGGCCCCAGGATCCGTGTTGAGTCAGTGTGTGGTGGAGGGGGTAGTCGGCCAGGCTGAAGGTGAATCATATAAATTAATGAATTTGATGACGGCTTATAGCATGGCTCAGCCTGCTCTGGAAATATTCTTCTTTCATCCATATCCCTTTGTGCTTGAGCAACTCTGGCCAATTACTCTGTGGTTTACATTAAATCGGTCTTGGAACAACCGATGCACACAGATCTCAGGATTGTTCCATCCTGGAGCCGATCAGCAGCAAATATCTAGCGACACAGAGGGAGGGGGAGACTGAACCTGGCCCCTCGTTCAGCACAACATGGGGAAGAATTCCTCCCTGCCACCTGCTGGCTCAGCTGACGCCCTGAAGCAAAGCACGAGAGCTGATCACCCGTGGCTTTTACTTGCACAGATATAAATGCTGGTGGCTGCAAAATAATCTAGCTTTCAAGCCAACTGCTCTACCCAACCAAGTCTGTACAGCCTGGGATAAAAAGGTGAGAAATGAGAGAACGCTGGTGCTGTCACACGGCTTGATTCTCACCGTTGCCCTGTGAGGCTGCCCAATTTTCTCTTTGTAAAATATCCTCCCCGTGTCCCCCACCTCCTATTTTTCCCCCAGCTAAAACAAACTAGCCAAGCCATCTTGCATGAATTTCAACGGCTCTGTTCTGCCTCTTGAGGTTTTGCACCATTGAGAGCTGAGCGATGCAGGTGTTATGCCTACCTACATGATGCGGTTGGCTTTCACTCCATGAAAGGGATTGCAAGTTGGATTTTTGTCTGCTCTCACACAGCCTTGCACATTGACAGTGAAAGCTCCGGTTACAGGAGCTGTCAGGGTGCATTATCCAAAGGGGTTGATGCTTCTGGAGAAAGGAAAGCTGAAACCATGAGTGAGAAGGGGGCGGCGGGGGGGTGGTGGGGGGGGAGAAAAAAACACGAGCACAAATAAAAGCAGCAGCGTGCATTGAAGAGGAGCGATGTGATCAGGAATTTTAAAAAAGCCACCTTGATGGCCTCCATCACTTGCTGTGTGCACTGAGGGATGATGCTTGAACCGAGTTCATTAGGAGCTCACATATTTGTTTGTTGCTCACTGCTACACCCAATTCCTGGTGGCATTGCCTCTGTAAGTATTAGGTTGGCACAGCAGCCATGAATCCGGTGTCTCTGAATCTTTCTACCCAAGAGCATATGTTCTACTGATAGTTTTTAGCTGCATTTCAAGTTAGGACCAATGCCAAATGCCAGCGGTCTACCTAATCCCTTATTATTGTTAGTTTGTGCTATTGCAGTAGAGGTCAGGTATCCCAGTCAGGGACTCCATTGAGCTAGGTGATGTACAAACACACAACAAAACACACAGTCTCTTGCCCTGAGGATGGTCACAATCTAAGACGAGAGACAACAAATAGATGCAACAAACAGGTGCTGGGAGCACAAGGAATCAATCCAACAAAACTTGTCAGCATGGAAAGCAACACACGGCATACCAGCAGCCTAACCATTGTCCAGCATCCCGTCTCCAGTGGTGGCCAGCACCAGCTGCTGCAGAGGAAGGTCCAAGAGACCCTGCAGTGGAGCACCATGGAATAACCTACCCATAGAGGAAGTTTCTTCCTAATACCCCGGACACTGAGTAATTGGCTTATAGCCTGATGCATAAAGTTTTATAGCCCTTCTACATTAGCAGTGGATGGTCTCATTAGCCATACAAATGTCTAATCCCTTTTGGGATCCTAATAGGTTGGCTCGTGGAGGGAGATGGAAGCAGGACTAGAAGAAGCAGAGATCCCAGCAGATAAGCAAAGAGAGTCGGCAGCAGAAATGTTGGGGGGTAAAGGAGCAATTAGATCACACCAGGCATCACTGGGATTCTGCTCAATCCTGAGAATCAAAGGGTCTACCTCTCCAGACCATCCCACTGACATCACTTGGTTTCTTCCAGACAGGCCAAGGAACAGCAGCAATTGCAAATCTGCCTTTTTTTTTTTTTAGTGCCTGAAGCTTCTCCCCATGGAATCCAGAAGAATTCTGGTAAGTCCCCTTAAAAGACAGCGAGCAGCGCTCATGCCATCCTTTCATTCTCCTGCATTTAGCTAGTCAGAAGCTAAACAACAACCCACAGAAGTTTCATCTTCACAGGGTTTGAATTGCTGTCAACCCACATATTTCCATTGATGTTCCCGCTGATACAATAAAATGTACTTTTGTGCAGCACCTTTCATAGGAAAATATCACGGAATGCTTCCCAGCTCCTTATGGCCCATGCCGGCCTCTACCCATGTGTTGTGTGTAGGCTTCAATGCATCCGACTGGGCTCAGTAGCAGAGGTGGTGGTGGGCCATGGGGTGAAGAGGGGCCCAAGAGGCAAATTGTGAGGAGACAGGTTGGATGTGAGGGATACGAGAAGATCAGGGGTTGGGATTTTAGTGTCATTAGGTATCACAGAAGAGGGAGAAAATATGGGTCTAGAGAGGAACGAGGGTTTTGTGATTAAGGCACTGGACTTGGACTCTGTAGATCGGCGTTCAACTGCCGGCTGTGCCTGGGTGACCTTGTGCAAGTGACTTCATCTCACTGTGCCTCTGTTACACATCTGTAAAATGGGGACAACAATACTTTCCCCCATGGTTTGTCCGTCTTGTCTGTTTAGTTTGTAAGCTCCATGGGGCAGGGACTCTCTCATGATATTTTGGGGAATTTTGGTCTGATCCATTATAGAGATAGCAATCCAGATTCTCATCTCGTGTAAATTAGGGCAATCCTATCGAAATCAATGGTACTGTACCAATTTACACCGACTGGGAAGGTGGCCATTGGATCCGATTCTGATCTCACTTACTGGGGCTGTACAACGATGTTGCTCCATTGACATAGTGGAATTACTCCTGATTTACACTGGTGTCAGTGATATCAGAATCATGCCCAAGAAGTTTAGCTATGGCTCCAGTATTTGAATCTGGGATTCTGCTCCAAGGCGTAGATTCAGGCCCTTCTTCATTCAGCAGGAGGTGCTCTTCCCACTGAATCAGTAACAAACCAACACCCTGGGGATACAATGCTCACATTATTTGACTGAGATGTAAAACCACCGTGCTGACTAGAAGTGGGCAGGGAACAGTTTTCCCGTCCCATTAATATTTTTGAGAGTTCAAAATGTTTGCTGTCTTAAATCAAGGTGAAAAGTCAAAATCTCAAAAATATTTGTGAACCAAAAAGCCATTCCCCCCACTCACCCATTTTAGGACAACTGAAACATCCATTTCAATCATTCTGAAATGTTTTCGATTTGGACTTTTCCTACTTTTTCAGCCTGATTAGCTTAAATTTCAAAACAAAAAGTCCTTTATAACTAGAAAAAGAGAAAAAAAATCATTTCAAAAATGTGGAGATGTTTCGTTTTGCCAATTTCAAAACATTTTTCTCGACCTTTTGTCACGTCTGGAAATTCATCAAACCTGATCCTGTCTTACGAATAGTTTTGGTTTAGATGAATCAGCATTTTTCAGTAAACGACCATTTGTCCAAATATTCCCAACTTACTCTGGGTGCTGACTACTTATGGGCACTTATGATTGTGACACACATTTTGTGCGAGTCATGTGGTATTCCTGAGTCCTGGTGAAATGCCCATGCAGGTAATTACATTCTACCTTTTAAAATCCTCCCAAGTGGTTTCAAATGGATACAGAATCCTTCTTTCCATCCTGTCCTAAGCTGTTGTGCAAGAATGTTGTGCACTGCCAAACAGATGGGTAAAGCATTTATAGTATTGTAGCATCTTCCATTCAATTTGTAGCCCCAAAGCAGCAGTGAAAGAGACATTGTATGGCAAATAAATTAAAGCCTTTGGCCATAAAGCCAATAACACACAGAGAGAAATAAAGATGCATAGTCAAAGGAGGAAAGAGACGTTTTAAAATGAGATCACAGAGATATGCAAAACCAAGAGAAAGGGAACCCTGGAAAAAAAGCAAGGCTGCCCTTTAGGATACATGGATATATTTCAAACACAAAGGACAGCAAATACGTGACTGTCTCAGGACAGGAGCTTGAAGGGGAAAGGTTACATTCCTATAAATATTTGAAGAAACAAACTAGAATAGAAAACACAGAATAAAAATGGGGGGTCGTTTGGGGAGAGTTAAGAGCTTTCATGTGGAATATTCCGCAGAACTATCCCATTCACTTTTCCGCTTCACTGGCCAGCTGCGTGTGCTGGTTAGAGCTACCCAGGTTCCCACCTGCTGTGACTGCAGAGAGCAAGAGACACAGGTGGATTGATAACTCACAGCTCGCAGTCCCCTGGATGGCTTAAAAAACATTTTTATTAAGCCAGATGGAGAAAGGGGGAAGGAGAGATACATCTACTTGCCAGGTGCCAACAAGCGGGAAGGAAGAAAAAAAGAGAAATCAAGCGTGGAAAATAAAAGAAAATGTAGTCAGAGATATAAAGCCTGTCAAATTGGCTGCAAACAGTAACAAAAGCAAAGGAGAGATAGTTTTCTCTTTAACAAATGCTTTGATCAGCTATAGTTGATATAATTACTATATAAAGCTACAGCGAGACAGAAATAAGATACATTTATCTTTGCACAGCAAAGAGAACCTTTATGATCACGTCCTTTTTCTCGCTTTCTTTTTCCCTTTCCCAAGCCATGACAAGCTGTTTCCAAGCTGGGAAACCAGTGCAAAGGTTGTACAAGCCTACAGTTCATTGCCCCAACTGCTACGGAGATTCCTGACATCAGAGCCAGGTGCTTCCGCCAATCCCCTGCCCCCAGCTTTGCTCTGATGGACCGTCCCAGCCAGTAATTATTAAGGTGAGCTGCCCTGAATGAAGTCTTCTGCTCACACATACACTCTGCGCTGTAATATCAACTTCGCAACCCTGCTAGACTTGCTGGGTCCCACCTCCCACTCATGGCTACTCTCTCACTTAGGAAGCGCCAGCCTCTGTTTCAGGGATGGATGCTGGCACTTTTGGAGAGCGTGCGGAAGAAGCATCTTGATAGCAGGGAGCTCCCCCAGGCTTGCGTGTGTGTTGGAGCACATGGGGGATTGGTGGAAAGGGGTGTGTGTGAGTGTGAGTGTGAGTGTGAGAGAGAGAGAGAGTGTGAGTGTGTGTGTGAGTGAAATCTTGAGCAGCAAAGTGTGTGTGTATATGTGCAAGACAGTGAGTGTGCATGTATATGGGGTGAAAAAGGGAGAAGCCCTCCTCTTTCATATCGCATGCAAAACACTGATGTAGTATTTCCTGGTGGAAAGGGGCAGGGATGGATCCTGAGAGGCACAGCGTGGCGCTGGGTAGCATTGTGTACGTGTGCGCATGAGTGCTGGAGTGTTTTGGATGCAAAAGAGAGCCAGGCTTCTCCTTCCCATCACATGCCAACCCCTGATTTATCCGGACTGGAACAATTTGTCTACGGCTGTAATTTTAACTACCTTCGTGCTGAGGAGCCAATCAGGGGCTTTGCTCATCGTGGCTTTTATGAGTCCCCATAAAAGCAGCAAAATGAAAACTCAGGGGTCCTTAAAATATACTCCATGGGGTTTGTGCAGTGCAATCGGAGGCTTTTATGACTCCTGTCAGGGCTTTTATGACCCTGTAAAACTGTGCAGCGGCCCAGCCTGCAATGAAAAGTGGCCCCAGTCATCTTAAAAGCCTAAATGGTCTTGTACATTTACAGGCCCTATTGGAACAATGTGGGGAACCCCGGAGGAACTGCACTGGGGTTCAGCCATGCCACTGTTTGTTTGGAAGGAGTGACAGAAATTGAGGGGGCAGGATCCCAGAGGTTCACTATCCGAGCACAGTCAGGGGCCCGTTTATGGGCTATGGAACGTGTGACGTGGGAATGTTCCAGAATGCAAAGTTAAAGCCGGGTAGATGCCCTTTAGACCGGGGGAAAATAGCTACACATAAATTCTTTTATAATATACTAAATAAAACCAAAGTTATCACAGACTGGATGCTTTACAGCTTTTTGCCCTTGTCAGATAAGAGTTTGGCAAGAGGTTTCTGCATCTGGGAGGAGGAGACAAACTGAAGAAGAGAGAGAAGGAGAGAAAAATTCAGACTGGCCTGGAATAAATAGAGAAGCTGTCACGCTCTTAAAAGGTCTGGTCATTGGGTCAAATTCTGCTATGAACATCCGGTATGGACACCCTTTAATTTCTAAACACACACAAACACACACGCACATTGGCCATCACAGACACTTTTCTCCATGCCCGGCAGGGGCAATATGGCTCTCCATTAAACACCACTCAGAGAAGGAAAATTTATGGGACTTTGCACAGAGGACATGCGAAGAGCAGCTATAAGCGCCATCTAATAGGAAGGATTCAGAATGCTAATTTTAGAGGGGTGCCTGAGAACTGAGAGGGGCTCTCGGCTCCCCCCAAAAAGTGATTTACACTATCCCGGGTTCAAATCTGGGTAACTCCCAAATGAAATGAGTTTGATGGGATTAGTCTTTCATTCTCCAAAACAATCAGCCCTTGACCTAGCGTGGCTGGCAATTTCTCCTCAAGCAAGGCCCAGGACTATGAGGTCCAGAGTGTTGCAGGTCAGGACTGAAGTAAACGGAGAGCTACTGGGTAAGCAATAGTGACAGTGCATTAGCAAGGCTGCATGAGAAACAGAGAGAGAGAGTCAAGGGTGCGACAGGCGGGATTGATGTGGGACAGCAGGGGTCAGTTGCATTGGCTGTGTTTGTGTGGTGCAGGGATTGGGACAGGTGGGGAATAAAGTGTATCGGGTCCCCAGGCTGGAATGACAAAAGGTGCTGCAGATAAGGATGACCAGCAGCAGTGCTTTGTGGGGAACACTCACAGAGCTAGAGCCCAAAATAAAAAGAATAGTTTTGTGAGTGAGAAAAAATCCTGCTTCATGATTTCCTGAAAGCTTCAAAACAATCATGTGACAAGTCTAAATTTCTATTATTTAGCTCTGTGTAGTAAGCATTACTAATTATTATTTATTTGTATTACTATAGAACATAGGAGCCACAGCCATGTATGAGAATCTGATGGTGCAAGGGGCTGTACAAACAGAACAAAAAGATCTGGAGCACTGTCATCCAGTCAAAAAATATATTCAGAAAAGTGTCTCATAAGTATTTGTACTGGTAACCTGAGTCAAAAGTTATGCTCATTCAATCAGGGAAGAAAAATACACCATTGGACTCAGCCATCCATTGGAAACTACTCAAGTTTCTAAAGTTCACAAAGCATTACTGTATGAGAATTATTCACAGAAACGATGGGACAAATTATTTTAAATATTGAATACATTTGAGAAAACTGTGACCTCTTTGTGGTCAATTCACAGACAGTAACAGAAGTGAAATTTGGCTCTAATTAAAATAGATATTGATGTCTTGTTTCAATAAGCATTTGATCTGACGCTGATCATACCTTCACTTCTGCCAATATTTTCCTTTTGGATCAATAAGTCTTGAAACTCAGATGGAAGAAATCAGTTCTTGCTTAATATCAATAATAGGAACTATGAAGATAACTATAAGACATTAAACTTTCAGTGGAAATTCAGGCAGATATCATATGTCCTTTTGGTTTTTTTTCCATTTTAGCAAGAGGGCTTGCAGATTTAGCACAGTACAAAAACATCATTCCACTAGCTAATTAAGAATTTAAGTACAACTACTAATAGATCATGAATAGAAAATGCCTACCAGAACTCCGCAGTACTTCAACGTATATTCCAAAGCAACCCTGTGCACCCAGCTCAGATAGATTCTATGGTATAGCTTGCATTTAGCACACAATTTATCAGGCAATAAGGTTCACAGCGGATGCATCCAAAACCAGGGTGAGTATTTTTTTTTTAAGTAAAATTGTCTTTTACTTCTTTTCCTCTTTTTGAACAGATCATGGATGTGGAAAATAGCTTATTGAGCCCACTTCCCCGCCTCACAGGAGCTGCAAATGTGATCCTTTGCAAGCTCAGACAAAATCTGCGATGCTACATTAGGCTTGATAGCAAATTCACGACTTGCAAGCTTTGCTCAAAACTGTATATCTAAAAGCTTAATAATACAGGGACGGGGGGTTGTGTTTGGTTTTTGTTGTGCTCTGATTTTGGCATCCCCTCTGACACTCACTCACTCACTCACATAGACACACTTTCCTTCAGGTTTATGGCTGCATACTTGGAACCAATTCCCGATTTTGAGCTCAGCAGTTTTTCGCGGAGCGAGAAAGCAGACAATGGCAGGACACCAGCAGGATGAAGTTGGCTGGCCTGACATCACTGGGTGAAATTCACACCTGTGCAGAAGAGCCACAGCAAGCTCTGTGCACTATTTAAGTCCCACTTAAGCACTATTTTGAGGACTTAGGTGGTTCACAGAGAGTGTGTGCTTTGCACGGGTGCGATTTTCACCCACTGTGCTCGGGTACCCGTGTGCTAAAGAGCATGCCTCTTTCTTCAGGCATAGACGAGGACAACGAGAATGGGCCAAATTAAAAGGTCACTATCAGGTTGACTTCAGTGCAAAATTAGGTTTAGTAAATACTAGGTTTTACCAAATCAAAGAATAATATACATTTTGCTATGATTTGTAAATTCCACTACAAACTTTTTTGGTGGTGGTGACTGTTGACGTAAATAAGACATGGCAGTGCTAGTTCTAGGCTGCCAGACACTGACCAGAAACAAGAAGGGAAACTGACAAAACCACCTCAGGTGTGTCTATTTTAATTGTTGAAATGGAGTCAAATGCAAAAAAGCAAAACAACATACACCGCAAATAGCTAGTATTTAAATTAATTATTATTATTATTAATTAGCAGCTCTATTTTGATAACCCCTAAGCATCCCAAACAGGGATTAGAGACTCATTCTCCTAAGCACTGTGCAAACAGGACTAAACAAGTCTCTGTCCCAGAGAGCTCAGAATGAGTGTTCTCGAAACTCTGTGGGGAGTTCCAACTTTTCAAAATTTGGAAAGTTTCCCTCTATGCATCCGAAGAAGTGAGGTTTTTACCCACGAAAGCTTATGCCCAAATAAATCTGTTAGTCTTTAAGGTGCCACCAGACTCCTTGTTGTTTTTGCAGAAGCAGGGGTTTCCTTACCTCCAGGTCTACGTAGCAGATGGAAGCAAGTCTTTCTAGGAAAACGGATGCCCTGCAGATGTCTCTGAGCAAAGCAGAGCCCTGAACGGAGAGCTCAATAAAGCGCTATTGAAACGCAGGTGGCTGAAGTTAATTCTTTATGAAGGCTTGTTCGGGCTTTAGTTAAGGACAAAGCTTTGTGAAGAGGAAATAATGGGACACCTTGCCAAGTACAACAGTATCTGGATTGTGTGGCTTGCCCAATGACAACAGAGTAAATCCCCAAATAACACTTCTAAGAACTTCCACAAGCTGGTTAGGCTTCACACAAAGAAATCTGCCACCACCACTTGCTTACACTTATTTTCAATGAGAGATCTCCATCACAGAACAGATTCTCTGGATGGCTCAGCCAAAATCCAGTGCTCAAGTAGTGGCTAATGAGAATCTTTCTTCTTTAAATCTCTTTGGATATGTTTAACCCAGTCCTGAGACACTGAGGACCATTTTGGGGGCTTCTGGGTTTTCCTTTTAATACAAGCAGGAAAGTTTAAAAATGTATTTGAAACTTTGTAACTTTATTTATTTTACAACATAGATTTTTTTTCCCCAATGGCCAAAGCCTCCAAAATTCCATTGTCAGCATTGTCCCTTCCTGCTTACTGCAAAAATGGCAAAAAGGTGGGCATTCCTTTTATTAATGTTGTTATTGAACTGTGAAGCTGTCTGTTGCCTCATAGACATGTCACAGGGATGAGTATGTCATAAACACCCAGGAGGCTACATTACCTCTTCATATCCTGAGTCGTTAGCCAATATTTGGGGCCTTACAGATTGTTTCTGTTAGGAGGAGAAGTTGATGAAAGAGTCATATATTTGATGCAATCCGGTTTACTTACAAAATATGTACACAAAATTCTGTTTTCCTGAACACAGTAGGAATCAAACAATAGGAGGAAAGTTTCTTTGCTCAAAATTCCAAGCCTCTTTCCAGCCAGCAATCTGCCCAAAAAACTCTGTTGGCTTTTTCTCAGGGATACATTACCAATTTCTTGCTAGTTTTCTCCTCCAGGCTCTTTCCTTGCTTTCTGGCTTCCACACATCCAGCCACCTGTGTTTGCAATCAGCAAAAATCCTCTGTCCACATAGCTCAGTGTCTGTCCAGCCTTGAATGTGGTGGTCTGTATTTTGGACAGTAGCTCCTAGTGCTTTAGCTATCTTAGAACATAAAGGAGCTTAATTGCTTCTTACATCTGTCCTGAATGAAGGATGGCTAGCATGACTCCCAGCCTCAGTGAGGTATGTTATTGCTTACTGATAGCCACCACCACCTGCCAGCTAGATATGGGAGTCATAGCATATAAGGCCAGAAGGGATCACTACATCATCTAGTCTGCCCTCCTGTATATCACAGGGCACCAACAGCACCCAGTACCTGCACACTAAACCCAACAGCCGTAATTAGACCAAAGTGAGAGAATAAGAGGGACCAAGGTGCATCAGTGCCCAAGGCCCCGCAGCAGGGAAGTGATTAAGTGAGATCTACCCAGATAATCCTAGTATGTGATCCACACCCCCAGATGCAGAGGAAGGTGAAAAAAACCCCATGGTCACTGACAATCTGATGAGGGGGGAAATTCCTTCCCAACCCCACATGTGGCGATCAGTTAGATCACATGAGCAAGAACCGGCCAGCCAAGCCCTTGAAATAGAGAATGCTCGGTGTTGCTTCAGAGCACTGGCCCACCCCAGCCAATGTCCCATTCTCCAGCTGCGATCATCCCTGATGCTTCAGAGGAAGAAGATTAAAAAAAAAAACCCACAAAAAACCACCACAACACCTCCCAGAATATGACCCCCTGCCAGTGACCAGCTGAAAACCGTAAGCATGACCCCCTGCCAGTGACCAGCTGAAAACCGGAAGCATGAGTGCCAGGAACATAATACATAAACCTGAAGCCACAGGGCTGTTAAGCCCCACCCTTCACCATCACAACCAACCTTGCACTCATAAATTTGTTCAGCTGATGCTTGAAACTAATTACGTGTAAGAACATAAGAATGGCCATACTGGGTCAGACCAATGGTCCATCTAGCCCAGTGTCCTGTTCTCAAACAGTGGCGAGTTCCAGATGCTTCAGAGGGAATGAACAGAACAGGGCAATTGTTGAGTGATCTATCCCCTGTTGTCC